GTGTGTGTGTGTGTGTGAGAGGCTCCCTGCTGTTTGATGGGCTTCCCGTGCTGATGTCCACTTCTGTCCGTCTGTCCGCGGCTCTCCCGTCTTTATCCTTCGACCGCTCTCCTTGTAAGCAGGTCCTAAAGGCGTCGGGACAGAGAAAGAGTTGGTTCTGAGGGTGGAATATTTAATTTAATATTGAATATTTATTATTTAATATTTGAATTTGTACCTCATGCACCTTTTCCTCCTTTTGAACTCTCTTTAGCCACTAAACCGATGTGTGACCAGTGAATTTTCTCCACTGTGAGATCAATAAAGCTCTCTTTTCTTATCTTATCTTATAAAACCACGAAGGCTCACTGATCATAATCATCATCAAAATCAGTTAAAGTCTGTTTTTCCTTTTTAAGTTAACATAGAAATGGATGGCAAAACATCGTCCAAGATGTCCAATCTGACAGATGTTTAAGAACACATCAACAAACATGGAGTTTCTCACACGTTTTCTTCCATTACCCCAAATTTCCCCAGTTGAAATGAACCCTTTAAAGCCCGATCCAAGAAAAATAGGAAGAATATTGGATTTTTTTTTTGTCTGAAGTCTTTCTTTGGCCCTTCAACAACATATGAAGAAAAAAAAACAGAAATTATTTTGATCAAATTAGCGTGCAATAAGACAAAAATGTATTTCGGTGTAGTCTTCTACTGGCTGTTATCAGGTATATCTGAATGTGTACAACAGGGGTTTGATTAAAGCTTTTACCACTGAATGATGCAAAAAGTCTCAGATCCAAAAAGCTTCAGAAACCGTATCAAATATGATACATTTGGCATTATGGGGTTAAGCTTAAATTTGAATTCTAAACCTACTTTGGCATGAAAACCTGATGTTGCCTCACAACTTACCAGCACCAAAAAAGGCCAATCTACCTATAACAGACCATTTCTACTCAGTAACATCCCACCGATGGTTAAACACACACAATTCCAGGTAAGGTCCTTTAATTTGGCCGTTACATAACAAAAGCTGGTTCGTTATGTAAGCCTTGAGTCGGCATGTCAGCGGGAAGACACTCAGACAGATGGAAAACGCTGAAATTCGGCTGGTATTAGCTTAAATCCTCCGCCGTATATCTGTTTTTTTATTTTTTTTGCGAGGAAGCGAGCGCTCATTCCACAGACGGCCTCTTTGGGCCTCTTTTCCTGGAAAGAGTCAGAGTCTGACAGTGAGGGTTCGGCGAGGATTTAGAAAGCAAATTTTTCCTGGTGGATCAAGAGGGAGATTCTGAGAAGTAAAGACCGGGGGAATGTGGACGTCAGGTTCCAAAAAGAGACGCGGATTGGCGGGACACTGTTACCATGCAGATTAAATATCTCAGAATGAAACAAGAGATCGTCTGGACTAATAAAATACTCATCTTTTCCATCTTTATACCTGCTGTTAAAGTCATTTATAATAAAGTGTACTTTTCTATTATTGTCTTTGGAAATAGAAGCTTTTCGGTTCTTACTGAAGCTTGGCATTTTGACACAAAATATCCTCTTGGAAAAGATAATTTTCAAGCAATCAACTACAGGACAAAAAATCCTTCTCCTCTTTGCTCGTTCTCTGTATACTGTCTTAAATTTCTGCATGAACAAGCCAAAACTCTGCATGTATGACTGTGCGTACACTTACTTTCTTATATTCACTTGAACATCCTATAAGAATCCTCTATCCAATCAGACACACATTAAAAGTCAACAAAAAAGTCCCTAAAAGGCTCTCAGTTAACTCTAATTTCACTCAAAAGGAAATCAAACAGTCCCAGTGATGATTCATTCTTAGATGATCTAATAAAAGGGAAGCTATTTCTGATTTTAATGAATCTAATTGAGTGTATAATTTTCCGCAAACGTAAAAAAAAAAAGGTAATCCACCTTCTGATCGCTCTTCAAAGTGGGATTAAAGTGGGTTTTATGAGAAAGAGGCTTAGCCAGGGGTTAGCGTGAGTGTGCGTGACGGTTTGAGCGCCCTCCCTTTTGTCCAGTGGTACCTGGGACGTTATCTGACCCTGCTTGTGACCCAGAAAGGGATAGAGCAGGCACAGACACTGGATTTCTGTAAATGGGAAGAAATCCAGACCTAAACGTCCAATCCGGTTCCAAGTTTCCGCTCCTGCTTTGTTTCCATGAGCTCCTGATTAGCAAAACGCGCAAATCCTGAAACCTTTTTAGTTCAACGGGCCCTTCAAAATCATCACAATTAGACCACCATTCAGGCATAAAATAAAATAGGTACTTAATGAGTCAATCATCTTTATATAGCCTATTCTAAAAATTGTGTGGGCTCACATTACTTAGTAATTAGACAGAATGGCCTCGATTGGAGGAGAAAAGGCTATGAAATCAGGCTGGACTTTGCATTCATGGAGGGTTTGAGAGCATGGCATATTATATATATACACACACACATCCAGATTTTTCTTGTCTTTGTCTTCTTCCGGCCCAAAAATCTTTTATCAATGTTTACCACAGACGATTCATAGACACATGGATTTTTTTGACGAGATTTGCGCACAAAATTAAACACAATCTGGCGAGGAAACTTAAAAAAATATACATCCGATCCCGTGTTTCGCGCAAATAAAGATATAAACGATGTTTATTCAGTTGTCTTTCCAGCAGGGAATCGGATGCTTTGTCAGTATTTAGATTTAGTTGGAAAAACTTTGATCGTACGCAGCTAAAATCTGAGGAAAAGGTGCAAAAAAACAGCAGAGCTCGGCTTTATTTGGAGGTGAACTTCTGTACATATCTCGGAGCAAAAATCGCTGACATGACGAAT